ACACCTATTCGATTAAGCAAAAAATGATTTATTTGCAAAATAAGACGCCTAGGATATCACTACTGAATGCTTCTGAAATTATTTGCAAAAAACTTACATATATAAATCCTACTAATAACGGGTATAACAAATGAATACAAAATTGAAAATGAACCCAAAGATAAAGAGACTTCAGACCATGTACATGCAGAAATAGAAAAAAATACTATAAAGAAATTAAAAATACTTCGTCAACACCAAAAATCATAATCTTTGGTGATCAGCAAGTGCGAGGACTCGCTCAAGAAATGTATAAGCAGAGATGTAAAAACAAATGGAACAATGTTTACTCTGTTTCTGGAATATGCAAACCAAATGCAACCAGCGCGCAAATATTTGACAGTATTGATAATATATTAGAGACTTTGAATACAAATGACATTATTATTTTAGGTGTAGGAAGTAATGAGAAAAATCCGTATACATTTCTGACAGAACTTTGTTCTACACTTTGCAAGTTAAAGAATGATTTCTTATATTTACGCGAACACTACACATTGAAATAATACTAGTTTTTACGGAATTTATCGCGTATATTTAAATTCTTAAATACCCGACGTTTCGAACGCTTTACAGCACTCATGGTCACGGGCGGGACTGAGATGTTCAACGTCCATATGTCATAGTTAACCGCGGTTACCATAGATTAAAATTTAACTTTTGTTCCGATCTATGCAGTATGAAATTATGGTATCTTGAAGTCTTGCAGTTGTATGCTTGGGTTGGGATTTAATTTTATTTATTATAGGATCCGTGTTCACAGACTGCAGACTTTGTGAACACGTACAGGATCGCCCCCGTCACTACATCAGATTTGATAGACCGCAAATCCTCGCTAAAGAACACCGATTCCTTCCAAGGATGATTCGCGAGGCTATTGAAATCAAAAAACATCCTAATTTCAATAGAGAAGATGGCTGGGTGCTACCATCTGCTTGGGATCCTATAATAAATAAAATTAAATCCCAACCCATCATACAACTGCATTACTTCAAGATACCATAAGTTCATCAACCGCGGTTAACTATGACATATGGACGTTGAACATCTCAGTCCCGCCCGTGACCATGAGTGCTGTAAAGCGTTCGAAACGTCGGGTATTTAAAAAGTTAAATATACGCGATAAATTCCGTAAAAACTAGTATTATTTCAAAGTTAAAGAATAACAACGTCTTTGTATTGAACGTATTTAATAATGAATTTTTAAATGTCAAATTGTTGAATAGAGAAATTAAGTTATTTGTTCAGAATTTTTCTAACTGTTATTTTGTTGACCTAAGTAATAATTTAGATAGTAACACGCATTGGATACCGAAAAATTGCTTGTGTTCTAATTAAAAAACAAATAAAAAATTAAATAAATAACAGAAGTAATGTTCAAAATTTACTGAGGATCAACCGCAACACCAGGGGAATTGCATTATACAAAGTACAAACAAAACAATAAAAGGTAAATTAAATAAATTAAGACTAAAGTATAAATATTAAATTACTACAACATTAAACACCACTCTCCACCCTTATTAAATCCTCCCTTAAGGAGAACGAAAGGGTCGTCCCGGTTGCTAACAATAGTGGGCTTTCCCTACATATTAGCAACTTATTAAAAGCCAAAAAAGCTGCTTTCCGGAGAGCAGCAAAATATCCCACCCCCGAATATAGGCGCGCGGCCAATCGTCTTCAACGAGAACTCCGTTTCCGCCTCTCTGAATTTCGAGACCTCGAAAAGAGTAAACTCATGGAGAATATCTCTCCATCTCATACAGCGTGCTATCAGGTGGCCAGAGCCCTCCGCATAGACGCTATCACCCACACTCCCCCTCTCTCTCGTCCCGACGGCACGGTTGCCTTCGAGGACGAGGAAAAGGCTGAGTGCTTTGCAGATAGCATTGCCGTACAATGCTCTCCTAGCTCTCAACCCGTCGACCCCTCACACGTCCAGGCAGTGGAGGATGAGGTCCGCCGCCGGAACTCACCCCCTACGGCCTCCGAACCTATCTCTGTGTCCAATGATGAGATTTCATCACCCTCATCAAAGGACTTAAGCCTAAAAAGGCTCCGGGCGCGGATGGCATCTCCAACCAAGCCCTAAAACACTTTCCTGAGTTGATGTTAACCTTTTTATCTATTATCTTCAACGCCTGCTTCAACCTTAGTTACTTTCCCACTACGTGGAAAGAGGCAACTTTGATTGGAATTCCCAAGCCAGGCAAGCCTCTTAACCTCCCCTCCAGTCATCGCCCCATTAGCCTCCTCAAGGCAATGGGCAAGCTCTTCGAAAGAGTCATCCAATCACGTATGAGGCGCTATCTGTTTCCCACAGACGGTGACCCTCTTATCATTCCCCACCAATTCGGGTTTCGAGCCCAACACTCATGCCCCCAACAAGTTCACCGCATTGTAGAATATATTCTCAGCGGTTTCTATCCTCGTCGTCATAAGACCATCGCGGTCTTTTTCGACATAGCTAAAGCTTTCGATAGGGTCTGGCATACAGGCCTTATCTACAAACTATACAAAATAGGTCTCCTCGATCGCCTAGTACGTCTCGTGGCCTCTTACCTAGAGTATCGTACCTTTCGTTTTAGACACGAAGGCACGCTATCCTCACAACGAACTATCAAGGCTGGTGTCCCACAGGGCTCAGCACTTGCTCCTCTGCTGTACATTCTGTTCACCAACGACATTCCCATCCCATCGAAAGGTGTTCAGCTCTCCCTCTTCGCAGACGACACTGCTATCTACTGCAAAGGTGTCTCACTGCCCTTCATACGGAACAAGATCCAAAAGTCAGTTGAAGACCTAGGAGCTTGGTTCAAAAAATGGCGCATCGATGTGAACCCGGAGAAGAGCTCCGCCGTTCACTTCGACTATAAACGACGCCGTCTCAAAAACACTCCACCAATACGTATGCTAGGGACCCCTGTCCCCTGGCATACGACCGCCAAATATTTAGGTGTCACTTTAGACACAGGGCTCACTTTCAGGCCCGAGTATGTTGGGCCGACACAGCAAAATGTCCCTTCGAAACAAGCGTACCCTCTATAAGGTCTGTATACGACCAGTCATCTCCTACGCGGGCCCCGTCTTTGCCCACGCAAACCCTAATATTATTAATGAACTTCAAATAGTTCAAAACCTTTTCTGTCGTCGAGCTGCGAACGCACCTTGGTACGTCCGTAATGCCGACCTTCATCGGGACCTAGAGCTCCCAACAATTCAACAATTTCTTAAAAAACTGTCTGAAAACTTCTTCAAAGCCTCAGAGTCGCACCCAAACCAATTAATTCGTGAGCCAGCTACTTATGCAGCCCCACCCCCCTCTCGCTATCGAGTCCGCAGGCCGAGAAACTCTCTCTCGGACCCGCCTAATAAACTGACAAACGACCTGAACTGCATCCTGGCGGCTCAGGCCAACTCTAATTAAATTAAATTAAATTATCGTATTAACTAATATTAATTTGCCTTCGTAGGCACTCTCTCAGCGGCTCGTAGCCGCCTGCGCCCTCTTTTCCCAAAAGAGGGTCGCTCACGATAAGGCACAATACAGCTTAATTAGCCGGCTGCCTGTCCCCAAAGGCGGTTTTTAGAGGGTATCACTTAGGGTCCCCGGTAGGACAGTGAGTCCCTCATAACCACGATAGACCGGCTATCGTGGTATGCGTAATGCATTTTCCGCCTCCCTACGTATAGGGTAGCCTTTAATTGCTTCGGGCGCAAAAAAAAACATTAAACATCTACTAAAAACTAAGTCTGATAGAAAAAGGCTATAAACTAATTAGGCTGGTATAGAACTCAGATTTCTTGAATTCGTTCGGTAACCATATGTGTTACAATCCATTACACCAATCTAGTACATCATCACAGTCAAAATAACGTTCTAGTCATCAAAACTTTCGCTAAACGTACAAATAATGAGTGTATTTGAAATTTAGTAACACCGTCTTTACAATATTATTACAATTAACACAACAATGATTTTACACAAATTTTCCAATTACAAATTTTGTTTTCACTCACAGTTTTAGAAAATGTCAATAAAGTTAGTTAATGTTTGGTAAGTTTGTAATTAATTGTTTTTTGAACACTTGAAAGTTGTTTATAACCACGTTAGTTTTGGACTGATATTTAAAATATTGCTTAATTATAATGCAAAATAACACTCTCACTTCTTTACTGTCATGTTTACGTCGAATTGAATGAGTTAATTTTGGAAATACTTTTAAATTGTAAAAATATACGGAGTCGATTCTGCAACCGCGAGCACTTGCGGGTAGTGTATAGGGTACGTCCTGCGGATAGGTCCTGCGCAGATGCAGTTAGGTTGAGACTCAACAATAATAATGGTAATATTATTTTCATTATAGTTTTGCTACCACGAACTTGTTTTACAGTATTTAGATTAGACCATGTGCCTAGCCAAACAAAACCGTTGCAAAAATCGTTTTAGACTTTAAGATATAAGAAATATTTCTGCTATTTACCTATTTTATTTTATTTTTACCTAACTATTAACTACTTAATGTTTTAAATTGTTTTCAGATTTAGTTATATAGCAGGATAAGACGTATAGTGTGACAGTATTTCAATATGTCGTAATTATTTCACTGTGATATTTTAACAAGTTGTACTTCCGTTTATAAAGTAAATATGTTTGTAATTAAAATTTTACCATGTTTCTCAGGATTTTAACAATGCAGAAATAAGGGTTTGTAGAAACTACAAAAGGTACACTTATTTATTAGCGCATCGTTTCATATTTACGCCTATATATTCCATACGCACTCAAGTTTGGTTTTTGGCGGATGGCATTATTGTTTTCTTTGGTGAATGGTTTTATGTTTTGCGCACAAAAATAATCGCACTGCATCAATATATAACGACTGCATTGCGCATTATATCTACCTATAAAATTGACCCTATTAATATATCTACACACACATTTTAAGTCTATAAATCATTTGGGTGAATCGAGCACATGGTGCCAAGGTCGCACAGATTTTAGAGGCCGCAGAGGCCGTGGAGGTCGCACAAACCGCGGGGGTCGCACAAACCGTGGAGGTCGCACAAACTGTGGAGTTCGCACAGACCGTGGAGGCCAAATTAGTCGACGAGCTCGAAGAAGTCGCATAGTGATTTTAGGTAATAAGTGTTTTTGTTATGGAATGATAAGTATGCTCATTTTTCGTATAACAGAATAACTATTTAGTAACAGTTTGAACATGAAAAAATGCAACTTGTTTCAGAGGATATTCAATTAGTGCCGCCACATGGAGATATAAGAGAAGAGAGGGAATTTGGTAAGTATTTTTAAATACACTCTCAAACAAATAAACAGGATCTGTGTATTTTATACAATGTGTCCCAAAATTCAACGATAAACGGGCACCAGAGGGTGGACCTGCTCATGACTACTCGAGAAAAAAAAAAGAAAAAAAATCTAAATCGTTTTTGAAATTACAAAAAAAATATGAAATTCTTCGAAAATCGATACCCCGATATGGTATTTTTAACTACCATGACCACATTTTTAATTTTTCTGGTATTTTTTTTGTATCGGCAACCTTAGTAGTATTGCTATCTACCACAAGTTGCGTCAATTTTTTTAAAAAAACTTGCCATAGTAGTTTTATGTATTAAACTCAAGGGCAATAGAAAAACTAATTTATTGGATTCGTTTCGTCCACAATTCACATTCTGAGATAAATATTATAATAACATAGCTGGTACTTTCAACTTAAATTATAATACAGAATTATTATGAATAATTTAAATAAAACTATTTTGGCGAACTTATCTCGTGACCAGAAGCCACCGCTACGGAGAGTTGCCCCGACCAAAATTACCCCAGACCGTGTACACTGTGCCACGAAATCCAGACTAACATTTCTATTTTGTCGCAAAAAGCATTCAATCAATTTATCAAGTATGTCAAAAGGGCCACAAGCATTTAAATGTAAAAAAAAATCCAATTGTACATACCTTCAAACAATGTGGGCAGCAGAGAAACATCCCACTTCTGAGATTTTATGAATTAAACTCAAGGGTAATAGAAAAACTAATTTATTGGATTCGTGTCGTCCACAATTCACATTCTGAGATAAATATTATAATAACGTAGCTGGTACTTTCAACTTAAATTATAATACAGAATTATTATGAATTATTTAAATAAAACTATTTTGGCAAACTTATCTCGTGACCAGAAGCCACCGCTATGAAGAGTTGCCCCGACCAAAATTACCCCAGACCGTGTACACTGTGCCACGAAATCCAGACTAACATTTCTATTTTGTCGCAAAAAGCATTCAATCAATTTATCAAGTATGTCAAAAGGACAAGCATTTAAATGTAAAAAAATTCAATTATACATACCTTCAAACAATGTGGGCAGCAGAGAAACATCCCACTTCTGAGATTTTATGTATTAAACTCAAGGTTAATAGAAAAACTAATTTATTGGATTCGTGTCGTCCACAATTCACATTCTGAGATAAATATTATAATAACGTAGCTGGTACTTTCAACTTGAATTATAATATAAAATTATTATGAACAATTTATCTCGTGACCAGAAGCCACCGCTACTCCAACAGGAATGAATCTCCGACCGCTGGGCGCTGGCTGAATGTCCAAGCAAAAACGTTTCCCCTATCACTTTTCTTAACTTGCTTCTGATTGGTGCGTGTAGGAATTGTCAGTTTCAAACCAACCAATCAGAGACGATCGGAATTACTACCAATTTGACCGGAAATACGTATTAATTTTAGCAACTTATTATTGAAAAATAGATTGAATCATGACATTAGTGTCAGTACTTCTTATTTTACACCACGATGAGTGAAAGTGGACTGAAAGTAAAAATTTTTCAAAATCTTAGGGGAAAAATAATTTTGATTGATTTTTGTGTAAAAACTACATTTATTCAGGGATTTATAAAGGTTGTGGTAGATAGCAGTACTACTAAGGTTGCCGATACAAAAAAAATACAAAAAAATTTAAAATGTGGTCATTGTAGTTAAAAATATCATATCGGGGTATCGATTTTCGAAGAATTTCATTTTTTTTTTGTAATTTCAAAAACGATTTAGATTTTTTTTTCTATTTTTTCTCGAGTAGTCATGAGCAGGTCCACACTCTGGTGCCCGTTTATCGTTGAATTTTGGGACACATTGTATAATATTTGGTACCTATATTACCATTTTTGTTATAGCCGATATACAATTGGCACCAGCTGCGGATATCGAAGTTGGTAAGTGTACAATTTCCTATCATTATTATTTTTGATGAAGAATGGGTATGAATACACTTATTTTGTTATAGAGCATGCTCTGATACCATCGAGCGAAGATGAGGACATTTTTAACATAGGTACACCAGATACTGCCTGTGCTGATACAGTACCTAATTCGCCTTCTTCGTTAGACAGCAGCCGAAGCCGTTTGACAACAGCCTTAAATTTAGAATTAATGTCACGGACTCCGAAAAAGATAGGAAACTTGTCCCTTGATCACCCAGACAGCTCAGATGAAGAAACTCTCTGAGTTGGTTTAATTTTGTTCCAATTGCTAATCGTTTTCTTATTCCCAATTATAATAAAATTGCAGTGCTGCTAAGCATGTAAACATTGTTTTATTTTTATCATAGTTCCATTGATCACGAGAGGCGTTCAACATACAGGCCAAGTACTTACGAGAGGTGGGCGAAGTAACGGGCGCGTACGTACGCGGGGTGGGCAAGCACGAGGCATTAGAGGCGATAGACATGTGTAAATTTTACCTTTGTATTATTTTGTTTCTTTGACATATTTGCTTGTACAAAATATAACCTTACTTTAACTGACGTTTATATATTTCATTGTTTTATTATATCGCTAAAAATGTGCTTAAGTATTCCACATTTTAAGATCAGGTTTTATTTTAGGTTTTATAAAAGCATAATTCCATGTGATAAGAGACGACATACACAGGAGATAGACCCTCTTATATTCGTTGAGAGACTAGAAGTACCCATGCATATCAAAAAACCACGTCTCTGGTCACCAAGTACAAGATCCAATTTTGAAATGGCGGTGCCTTCATCTGCGCAGTAAATATCTCTACTGCAGCATGTGATCATGAACATATATTGCCGTTTTACCATTTAACATACTTACATATATTTTCTTTTTAGATTCATAGAATGCGGTGGAAGCAGATCCAGCACGCCCTGCACAAGATCAAATGTTGAAATGGCGGTGCCTTCACCTGCGCAGTAAGTATCTCTACTGCAGCGTGTGATCATGAACATATCTTGCCGTTTTACCATTTAACATACTTACATATATTTTCTTTTTAGATTCATAGAATGTGGTGGAAGCAGATCCAGCACGCCTTGCACTACTCAAATAGAGACCATTCCACCAAAAAAGCGTCATATTTTAACAGATATTGAAATTGACGATATTCTGAATTTTGGTAACTGTTTTTTTTAAATATTAACGATACCACAAATTTTTTACTTATTGCAATGTTGTAATAAGCTGATTTATCTTTACAGGTAGCGAAGAAGAAAGCGAGTCTGAAGACGAAGCATTCCCCATTTTCGTGCCAAGGACAGCGTATGTTTTTCTATGAATGACGACGCTGAGGACGAGGCAATAATATCTTTTGGTACTGCTTCAACTGCACCCTCTACCAATTTACCAGAAGTTTCTGGACCTGTCGGCATCTCGGGGGAAATGCCGACAGGAAATGCCAATATACTATACAGCATGCCGGCCGGGCCCGAGCGATTCCTCTTTGATTGGAAAGCTTTTCCAGAAACACCGATCCCTCCACGGGATAGACGTGAAATTTTTAAAGAAGCAGGAGGTCCTGTTCTGAACTTGCCAGGACAATTCGTACAGAGCCCAGAAGCCATATTTTTGTCCATATGGGACAGCGCAATCATGGTTCATATTGTTACAGAAACAAATTGGTACGCCGAAGAAGAGATTTCTAAAAGACAAGATACTCTTGGACTGCGACTGCACCGCTGGCCTCCTACAAACGTTGACAAACTGTATCTTTATTTTGGGATACTTTTGGCAATGGGACTCTGTTTAAAGTCCAATATTAAGGAGTACTGGCATTAGCGACGGGTCCATCTGTGACACACCAAATTTCGCAAAACATATATCTAACAACAGATTTATTCTGTTGAATAAATTTATACATTTTGCGAACAATCGTGATAATATCTTGGCTTTGAGTCCTTCGGAGGCTAAAATTTATAAAATAAGTCCTATAGCTTAACCAGAACCTTAACCAGAAGTTTCAGTTATTATACAAACTGAAACAAAATATTTGTATAGATGAATCGCTGACATAATGGAAGGGGTGGTTAGCAATTAATCAATTTATAAAAAAAACTGCGCCAATTGGTGTCAAAACCTATGAGGTTTGCGACGCTAAGTCTGGATATCTTTGGCGTTTTGAAATCCACTCAGGCAACAAAGAGAGTACCACCGAGTCGCCTACTCCCATCTCTGGGATCATTCCTAGTTTGGTCCTCCGTCTGTTGCAGGGTCTCGAGAATAGAGGCCACTGTGTGTGGATGGATAATTATTATAACAGCCCCGCCCTCGCACGTACGTTAAAAACGATGGGTTTTGATTGTGTCGGTACTTTACGTACAAATCGACAGTTCGTACCCCCACAGCTGGCATCTTTAAAAAAAGGTAACATGGCTGTTGGAGAAATACAGGGATGCACCAGTGGAGACGTGGATATTTTGGTCTGGCGAGATAAAAATAGGATAGCAACTATATCCACGTATCACGGCAACGCAGTACAACGTATAAATGACACAATCAAACCGATAGTCCTTTTGGACTATAATTTATGTATGGGAGGGGTTGACCGTAAGGACTCGCGTGTGGTACAAGAAACTGTTCAGGTGCCTACATAATGTTAGTGTCTTGAACAGTTTCATCTTGCATTCTGAGTCCCCATTACCAGAACACCCAGTTCCAAGATTCACCACACACAGAGGTTTTAGATTCGAACTCATTAAGAATTTGTTAAAAAAGAAAGTGCAACTTCCAATTGACGCAATAACCTCACATGGCAGCGCCACATCTTTCTCAGAAGATTATTTTTTACACCTACCCAAAGAATATCAGACTCTTCCAGGCCGAGGTGGGGAGAAATTGCGCAGTGTTTGCGTTGTATGCCGTAAACGCACCCACGTTTATTGCCCTGGTTGCAACGTGACTTTGTGCCCGCTTACTTGCTTTGCACAACATCAAGCCACTAAATCTTTTTAACCGACTTCTTAAAAGTAGGACGTTCTCAATTCGACCCATTTGTTTTTGTCTTTTGTTTTATACTCTTTTTCTAATTTTTGTTATTATTATTATTATTACCTATACAATTTATCCAACTTTGCCATTGTTTCATTTTCGTCAAGTTGACCCATAAAAACCATTTTAAAAAAATTAAATTTTTTTTCACCATTAACAAATTAATCTAAACATAAAAATGTTAAAATAAAAACAGCGATGAATTTAATATATTAATATATGCCTTTACAAATAAATATAAAATATTCGACGAAAGACGACTCTATACATTTTATGTCCTAAATTCTCAGTTTGGTTCGAAATTTTGTCAATGTTTCTAGTTGATTTTAATAACTCTAGCAAATCATTAGAAATATGTGTTTATGTTTATTCATTTTATATTCAGTATAGTTATTGACAAAACAATTCATTTATAAAATTAACAAACAGTTTATTTTTTACAGCCTTATCTTTAGCAGTGGTATATTTTGTGGATTTTTTTTTTGTTTCGTGAGATTATAGAAGATCTGACTACTTAAAACACAACGATGTATTATAAAAGAAACTCGTTAACAAGTTGAGCATAATAGGGGACCACAAGAAACCTTTTAAGTGGCTGATCAAGGCCAAAAATGGCTTTGAACTCATATCTGTTGCAAGGATATTATTTTGCTTTCACAACTTCGCTTTCAAATCTATTTCTTTGACTAATTTTATAAGAAGTGGCTGATTTTACCTATTTATATTAATAAAATAACTAATAAATAACATTATAAGACCTTTTATAATGGTATTAATGATTCATATTGATTTTTAAATGCATTTTTCTACAAATACTTGTATACATTTGTGTGATTAGACCGCTTGAAATATTTCCACTTGCTATGAGAATTAGTTAATTTTATATACATATATAGCTCGATAATCCGGCACCCGATTTTTTCCCTTTATGCCGGATTGTCGGAACTGCCGGATTATCGAATTTGTATAGGAAGTAAAATAGATCCACAGTAAACTGTACTATTTTAATATGGTTAGGTGAATTTATTATAAAAATAAAATTACGTACTTAATATGTTTATGTTAAGTACGAACTGCCAAGCAAGAGGAGAGAGAAACTACTCGAACAATTCAACCCAACCGCTCTGTAGTCCGGCGTTCAGCTGTGTAAAATGCCGGATTATAGAGCAGGCTACCTGAGTCCCAAAGTGCCGGATTATCGAGCGCCTACTGTATATATATATATATATATATATATATATATATATATATATATATATATATATATATATATATATATATATATATATATTATTGATTAGTGTTGATACCTGCCTGCTGACCGCCAACTTATGACGTTTGACGTTTGGGCGCTCGAGAGGCTACAATATGAATATGATCCTTTTTTTTACATTGACAAAAAACATTGTTTAAAACATGTTTTTTCGTGAGAATCGCATCAGTGCAAACGCACGGTAAGAGTACTAACGTAGTCTTTGATAAAAACAGCGATTCTTTGATAATAGGTCTGTGGGTCAATTACTATGCTGTTTAATTGGGAGTTTTGGCGGGAACTTGGCCGTAGACGAATTGTCGCTCCTGTTTTGTAGCTTAAATAATGGTTTGATGTGGATTTTCATTCGTAAAAGTGATGCCATTTTGTGAATTAAGTGTCCGCACGTGTGAACTATTAGAGAAAACGACGAAACAAGTGCTGTGATGTCGATATAAACCTCAAGTTATTTTGATCGTTTAGGCGCCTCATGAACTTGAGTGGCTGTCGTCATCAACCGTCCGCTAGGTTGAGCTGTCGTCAAAATCTCCCAAGGGCTTCACAATGTGACGCATCAGCATATTGTGAAGAAAAAGAATATAAAAATGAAGATTCTGAAAGAAATGAAAGACTCAGAAGGGCTAGGACCCAGAGCCGTAAAGCCAGTTAATAAAAAAAACTCTTTGATTGTCTTGTGACTTTCCTTTCCTTTTGAGCATAGACTTCGAATCCATCTGTGTAAGATGGAAGTATTTTAATCTATGTAATATTTTTTTTTGAATTTTCACTATTTTGATTCTAGTTTTTGTTTGACACCTATATACCGCAGTAGAGAAGACATGGCTGGAAAAGACGATAATAAACCTGAAAGTACGGAAACAGGTATTGATGAAAATGTAAGCAATGATGATGACAGTGAAAATATTCGAGAAGGTGAAATAATTTTTCTCTCTAAGTAGGTATGAATTTTTGTGATCTGATAAATATGAGTAATATTAATGTTTCAGAATACGAAATTTTGGACTCCAAATTAGACGAACTAAATTTGGCTCTCGACTTCTTAGAGAGAAAAAATGACGATATCCATAAAAAACTTAAAGAACTTTTACAGTCTAACATAGACATCCGCCAGCAATTAAAAAATGAAAATTGCCAAGGCAGCGACAATGAATGAAAAACGAAATTTAATAAGAAATACATCCTCCATTACCATTACCTTAAGTAATATTAGCTTGATAAATACTTTCCAATAGTCTGTTTAATTTACCTAAATGTAATTAATATTGGAAAGATAGTAATTTCTTAATTATTTATTTATTTCCTGAAGACTTGTTAAAATAAAAAATTCATTATCTCTTTAAATTTTATTTTACTATGAAATTTATTACTACTTATATATTTGTTACAAAGTTAATAAAATTCAACCTATTCTGTCAAATAAAACAAATGTGATGAACATATTTTTAATTTATTTCATATCTATCATTTGCATTGCTGCAGACAAAACCACTATTGATTCCTCCATTTAATGGTGAACTTTTTTTACGAAACGTAATCCACAATATCCACAAGCATGGTTTCCAGGTTTATCCTGAAAGCAAAATCAAAAGAAGACCAAAATATAAACACAAATGAAGTTGATATACAATAGTTCAGCAAGCTGAAGTGGCAAAGGGTTGGAGATATAATTTGAACAACCAAGAACAAAAAAAGAAAGTCACTTTAGTGGTATCTTTGTACTGGTAATTGAAAATTTTTATCCCCCACTAACAACGAATACAGATGCCTCTGGTTCCTGTTTTGCAGCATTCCTTGTGGAAGGGTTTAGTTTAGCAGGGGAATTGTTCATGAGGTGGGCTGTAATAATAATGGTTATAATGATGATGGCACCAATACTGTCCAGATAGCATGTTGCATAATGTTGCAGTACATTACTGCTTTGTACATTTTTTCATTGCTTAATACATTTACCGGAATGTACCATATATGGGGCATTTGGAGGCAATACTTATAAATGCATGCACACTACACACGGGACAACTCCCAACAAGTATTAAAGGTTTGTAAATTCTACAACATATGAGATAAAACATTTTTGGCCTGTTTATTTTAGATGTCTGTCTCTGCCAAGACATCTGAAATCATTCATGTCTTTATAAATCAGCACTGAATTTATAATAGAAATTGAGATCAGATATTGCAATTTTTGTATCCTGTGTATGTCAGAATTGGGATTTACTTGCTAATTCACTAAATCAATCCCAGATTTGCCACAGTTGTAGTTGTACTCTAAAACAATTTTTTTTTGCATTCATTTTAGGTATTTTCATTTTCATTTCAGGCAACTGCAGTGCATGAATTCAGCCAAAATCGATCATTACTATAAATTTAGCCAAAATCAATGACACTATGTAAAAAGCTCATGCATTTGTGCCACACATATTGGGCAAAAGTTTATTATTTAGAGTATAAAGAGGTATTAAAATGTTATTTATGTGTGTATATTTACCTATTATTAAATTTTTTACCTGTGTGAATGTATTAAAAATGCCTACACAACATACATAAACTGGCCACAATTACTTTACACATGGTAAAGCCATGCTACTATAGGTTGTAGCACAAATGGGTTGGCTCGCCCTTCTGGGGAAAGACCACACTCACACCTAACACCAACTGAGTAAATTTTATTTTAAATATATGTATAACATAGAAAAAAATATGTCAGTGAAAACAAATTAATCTCCTTCAAAAAGTTCATTGGACTCTTCTACATTTTCTACAGTAGAGATATCTATTTAAAAATGCTATTTCATGCACAAGGACCTAATTTCAGCCTTTTAAAATTAAAGAAATTTTACCAAGTTAATATAAACTCGTGGGTGGCCTTCTGGTCCACTTCCTCCATCACACCATATGACTCTTTCAGTTACTTCTTTTGGGGGTACTTCAGCAATTAAGTTAATTGCCCAGTTGTGATTAACATGTTTTGGAGCATTCATAAATCTTGCAAGCCTGTAATCATCAGAGTCCCATTTCTGAAAATAAAAAACACAAATGAAATTATTAATTACAACAATTTAAGTGCTGATTAACCATATGCTAGAAGAAAATAATTGTGAGGAAACCTGCATGTTTGAGGAATATTATTAGGTCATATGAGATACACCAACACACTGAAACAGCATGGTGGACTCCTTTACCCTCTCAGAAATGAGAGGAAGTCTGTACCCCTAGCAGTGGAGCTTATATAGACTGTTACAACTTAAAAGTTCTAAAGACAATTTGTAAATTTAATGTGATGATTTAGATTTTTCAAGCTTGTACTTGAATTAGGCGACAAACCTAAAAAATTTGGTGTGTGTGTGTGTGTGCATGCATGCATGCGTGAATTAAATTTAAACGTTGTGAATGCTTGCTAGTGACCTAAATTCGGATGACAGCCTTACTGTGAGATTATCGCCCTGCCACTATATGACATAGAATTTTTGAAACTAGATGTTATGACAATCCTGAAGAACCTCAATACTGACTCCTCAGCTAATCCTGATGGTATATTTGGCATTGTCCTTACAAAAAGTGCTGAAGTGCTGACAAAACTGGCTTATAGCCTATGTAGAGAACCATATTATGAGGGATGGAAAATATGATAACAGTATGTGATCACTGTCAATGAATCCTTTAAAATTGTGGCTAGAAAATATAATTGTCTTGACCTATCAAAAATATTTAATCTCCATCCACTACCATATGCAAGGGAATAACAAGTTATAACCTACCATTGTCTGAATAATTGTATACTTCCTGTATGGATTGAGCTAGCTAAAAAAATTGTTGACTCTTTCAGTAAACAGCTTTATGATTCAATTGGACAAGTGATTTAAAGAAATGAAAAAAAAACATGGTCAGGTTGTAGTTTTAAAGTGACATATTTTCTATGTGGAAGTATTTTATTCCAAAAATTTTGATTGTTTGTTGTTGTTAAAAATATGGTAATTATGTTTAAGTTTTATGTAGTCTTAATAAAAGGGTTTATGTTCTAGTAACCAGTAACTTTTACAACTATGCCAAAACAATTAAGCGCATTACAGGAATGTGGTTTAGAGCCTGCACCCTGCCTCTATGCCCACGCTTCCCCTAGTGAGCAATTATCATCCCGGTCTTCCCTCTAATTCTAATGAAGTCTTAACTGTCATGTGCCTAATTGTTTTGGTCACCTAATAACAACAAATTATGCATAAGTATAGAAAATAAAGTATAAAAGTAAAGTAAGTGGTAGTGACATAAGAGAACCCATCACAGCATTTTGTCCAATGGGTGTCACAAAAGATGACTATGAACAAAACAAAAAAGACCTCACAGCTTCAGATAGATGGTGTTGTTATATCCATCTATATGGTGTTTTGATTTGATTATGCCAGAAGAAAAATATACAGATACACAACAGGAATTTGTGGTTTGTGATTTTACATAGATTGTGGCCTGCCATGCATGTCAATTTAATGTATTGCCCCAAGGTGACATAGGTAAATGAAGCAGAAGATGGGCTACTGCATCTTCCCAGTAATAGCTGCAAGATAAAAAACTGCAGTTGCAACCCATCTACCAAGCATTGTGACTGTAGAAAATATCCTTTGGTTGTTATATAACATAAATATGAGGCAATCTGTGGAGTAGGCCTATGTCCAGCAGTGTGGACTTTTGATAGGCAGTAACAGTAACAAGTAGTAGTTAGTGACAAGTATGATTATGGGTGTGCTGCTATTAAATTAAAAACAGAGGTATGGAACTAGTTTCCATTAGGTAGCATTGTTGGGGATGAGCCTTAAGGTCACTTGCAAATAGGGGATTCTGCCTTTTAATAATTAAACACTTGTAATTTGTACAAAATAGCAGTATGGCCATCTACCTTATGAAGTTTGATCACAATATGATTAAAATAAATGTGATTATGCAACAAACAATAATTAATAATAATCAAAACATTTTAATCGCCCATTTAAATTCCAAATATTTATAGTTATAAAAATAAAGATAAACCGCTAACACTAATTAAATTATTATAAATAAACTTATACTTGTCCTGTATGAGTACATATATCTTCTATTTTATTCGTTAAGGTTCGACTGCCAAATGGGATTACATTACGTAGAGCAAAATGTCTTAGTAGCAGAGCAGAATGGTTACATGACATATTTTTATGCTTCTAAAATATTGGAGCAAAACCGAAAAAAATTACACAACCCCCAAGGCCAATAATATTTCCGAGTTTCCGATATCAATACCACACTTTCCGACCACAGATAACTATATATTACACAGATAACTATATATTAGTTTCTGACCAGCACCAGTGTTGCTATGTTGCCAAGTCTATATTCAGTAATCTATGGTCTAGTGTCTAGACCCGTTAGTACTCTTATTAGTTTGTGGTCTAGACCGATCCGGGTCGCCATAACTTTGACCCAAAGTAGACTATTTTTTAATTCTATTTTTTTGTAAATCTACCTTAATTAAACTCAAAAGTTGAAAGGATAAAATTTAAGGCAGGTGTTGTAAACGTGGAAGAAAAGGTCAACTTAAAAAAAAAACATTGGGTTTGTTTATTATTGTACAAAATATTTTACATGAAACTAAAGAGATGAACGAAATAGAACACATAGATAAGAGTGTATATAAGTAGAACATAATTTATTGGTCTTCCGCCGGTAGAAGAATCTCTTCTAAAATGCTTCCATCATTCATCATCATTATCATTTCTTAATGATGAGCTAGAAGGCCCAGTACTAGAAGTGGAAGAATTAGACTGAGCGTCTAGTCAAGTGTTTAAAATAAACATTACGAAAATTTTGCAATTTGGTCATTTTTTGTAGGTATGAAATAGTTGTAACCTTAATAGTTTGTGGTTGCAACAAATTTCTCTTACACTAGGTAGGTACGTGTTGACAACTGCATCTTGTTGCGCAATTTCGTTTAAATTATGTTCACAACACTGAACACTTTCTACAGATCCGTTGCTTATAGGCGTTGACAATGCACGCAATGCAAATTCGGCAAGATCTTCAAATACGCGTTGTCCAGCCGCGTTTCTGATTTCCAAAATTTCTCACACGTCAAATTACTTATGTCCACAGGAATATCTGCAATTCTCATTGTGCTGATGAGCCTCCATTGGTTTTAGGTTTTATCTCAATTTACATTGGCAGAAGCATGCACCCAAGATAAATAGTGTAATTTTGGTCTGATGCTTTGCACACAAAAAGTTATTTCGGGGTTAAAACTTTGCAGCTATTGGGTAATTTACATATTGTCAGGTAATCTGTTAACAAACTCTTGGCACAAGCGGATTAGTACCAAAGAGCTTCCTTCTCGCACTTCTCCGATTCGTATATTAGTACGTTACAATGTTAAGCGACTTCCTCAAACTTATACCCGAAATCAATACTTTCAAGCTCAAGAAGAGATTTCTCAAATTCAGAACTAAATTTCGAAAGAGCGGACTTTACAGTCAACGTCTTGAATCTAAACTGATTATACTGTCCCGGTAAACATTCAGAGAGGAACGCTTAAATACTCTTCTTGTCATTGAAATCAGAAGAAGGCACAGATCATTGTAAATTTTGGTTATATCAGCACTTTCTGCTTGGAAGATCATGTTGAGGTCCGTTACCTCTTTCAGCTGTGGTGCAACACCAAATACTATAGATGCATCTCATCATTGTACATTGACATTATTAGCTCTCTAGCTTGGTAGAATTTTTCCCCTGATGAACAGATTATGTTAAAATGTGTCGTTAAGGGAACCCATTGTTTTATATGTGTCAACGGCATCGTGAAACTACGGGCATCGCGTGGCCGCTAACTAAACCAGTTTTGGCGGTTTCTTGCTGTTATTTAGTGTTCCATATACCTGGTGGTACATTTTGATGCGAACTGTGTGAGAACCAGCCGCGAGTTACTCTGAGCATAGAGATGACGGGAACTCGTCGCACGCTTTTTAAGCGAATGACACACGCATTTTTATAATTGAAAATGAGGCAATTTACTTTTCAATTTCGTATAAAGCGAGTTTTTCTTACCGCATAAATTATTGGTACCATCAGTGCAATCGCAGTTAGATTAAGTTTACCCACCTAACCTATTTCACGAATGAAACCTTGGAAGGCTAAAATAATTCGGAAGCTGTGGTACGATCAACTGATTGGAAACCCAAAAAATCGACTGTCATTGATTTATTTCTCTCGTTGTAATATCGTACAATGTAGGCCATTTCACAGTTGCCACATTAGTAGATTATAATATTTTAATATGGGCGATCACCTATTTCCCTAATCAGTTGTTGACGTAGAGCTGGCTCTGATATATTTTTTATTATATTGGAACACTATGTTCTATGTAGCTGAATATTTTTAAAAGGCTGTCTTTGCTTATATTCTTCAATATCTTCCCACGATGATCCACATTTATTATCGAACTATGCGAAGCTACGTAAACGGCAATTTGTATGCTTTTCTCTACAGTGCTGGCTCGTCAACATTTTGAGTAGGTAAGTAACATACTCTTATTAGTTTGTGGTAACAAAATCAAATGTGTTATATATTTAAAAAAAATCAGTGTACTGTAAATTAATACGTCCCAGAAGACGATTATTCTAGTTGCGCCTTAAAAACGAAGATTTTTTCGTTCCGTATGCGCTTTAGATTTGGCATGTTTCTCCAAATCCATTTTATGTGCACGCAAAGCACTTTTACACTATTTACAGTATGCTTCGCCTTTGCCATTTTTCATTAAGTCTTCTGAAGAATAGGATAGCCAATCTAAACAATATAATTATATTTATTTTATAGTTATCAATACAATGCTAAAACAATTGCACTAAAACAATTTTAGTTTAATCAATTTTATTTCCAATAAACCTTCCTGGTAAAATACTATAAATCTCTTGTGGTCATTTTTTTCATATGAAGAACAAGAAAAAATTCTTACTTTCAAAGTGAAATGAGCCTGTAAGAGATTTTAGATACATGACGTAATATAATAACCCTGCACATATGTGTTTTAGAAAGTTAATCAAAATAATTTTATGATACGCATGTTTACCCAAAAGTGGTGAAATATTCCCACACTAGCAAAATTTTACAGAGCGACGGAAACCGTCTGTAAACACCACACTTCCTCAGCTATAATAATAGTTTTAGAAATATATTGTTACGTTTTACGGTAAATAAATAATATTTCACATTGATAATAATAATATACTCTAGGCCATTAGGAACCATTACTTTTATGGCAAGTCTTTGGATCCACCTACGTTAGTACTCTTATTAGTTTGTGGATCCGCCTATCCAAAGTTGCAGAAAGTTTGTGACAGCAACTTCAAAAGCTTCGGAAATACTTTTTTTAAAGCTGTTCAAAATCTGTATTATGAAGGTTAGAGAACAGGAGAACGATCGCCGTAGAAAATAGTGTCCCAGAAATATGGACACAATAAGTGAGGCGCTGCGATCACTAAATTCGGTCAATAAAAGTCATTTTCAGTCTATTTTTCCGATCAGATGCTAAACCACTTGCACATCCACGCACAATGAAATATTTCTCCATTTTTAGGGTTCCGTAGTCAACTAGGAACCCTTATAGTTTCGCCATGTCTGTCTGTCCGTCTGTCCGTCCTCGCTTAATCTCTGTGACCGTTAGCAGTAGAAAGCTGAACTTTGGTACCAATATGTGTATCAATCACTCCGACAAAGTGGTGAAATAAAAATTGGAAAAAAATGTTTTATTAGGGTAGCCCCCCTATATGTAAAGTGGGAAGTGATTTTTTTTAATTTAAACCCTAACGTGTGATATATTGTTGAAAAGGTATTTAAAAATGAATAGGGGTTTACTAAAATCATTTTTGGTAATGTCAATAATTTCGGAAATAATCGCTCCAAAAGTAAAAAACAATGTCCCCCCCCCTTCTAACTTTTGAACCATAAGTTTAGAAAATATGAAAAAAATCTGAAAAGTAGAACTTTATAAGGACTTTCTAGGAAAATCATTTTGATTTTGGATGGAAACAACAGTACCCACTACCGGGAGCAGTTGCAGGAGCGCGGAGCGCTGCTGGAGCGCGAACATAATGGATACCCACCTTTAAACTCATAAGTGGGAACACTAATTGTGACGGACGGGAAACTACGGAAACCTACACTGAGCGTGGCCCGACACGCTCTTGGCCAGTTTTTTAATGTTTCTTTTTGTCAAAAATTACAAAATTACGGAGAATGAAAATTAAACAATCTAATTTAATAGAGTATGTATTACTTTTGAGATACATTATGTTTTCATGCGATGGCCAAGACAATCAATTTATTTAGAACATAAAAGATTTTTAATATTGATATGGTCACTATAAGATGTTGTTAGGTTAGCTAATTATCTAATAACTTAAGACAGTAGGACCCTTAAGTAGGGACTGAATAAATTAACTGACTTGGTGTTACATGGATCTCACAACTTTTTACGGTAGAATCCTAATTTTTCCTTTCCGGTACCTTGCTGCTGCTTTACCAACAACGGATTTTCTCAAAGCCCACGCTCTGACTTATGAGCTTTTCTTACTTTTGTAGGTAGTCTTCCTCTTTTTCTATTCCAGCACTACTTCTTGAGCTTCAGCTACAGTTTTTCTCAAAGTCCATTCTCTGTCTCTGTGGGTTTTCCTCGGAGGTTTTAATGTTACAATTTTTGACAATTCTGGGCGGTAAATGCTTCTTAGTATATTGTATTCACAAATTGAGGATTGCTGCGCTTTAATACTTCTAAAGTCAACATTAATTAAATGTAATCCGCCCAGACTTCTAACTCTCGAAAGTGCCACGTAAGCTTGACCGGATGTGAATACTGAAGAACCGATATCCAACAGCGCATTATTTAGACTTAGGCCCTGACTTTTGTGTATAGTTATAGCATAGGCTATACATATGGGAAACTGTTCTCGATGAATATAAGCTCTATTAATAATTTCAAATTTAGTTTTGATCGGAACAAGGTCGTAAACATGTTCTTTATTATATTTAATGTATATTTTCTTAATTATTTTTGTATTTTCCGGATCAACCTTTACTTTTTGCACTATACCGATGGAACCATTAACTAAACCAAGACTCACGTCAATATTTCGCCTTAACATGACTTTTGCTTCTATTTTTATAATTATATTCTTTTCCAGGCCCGAAGCCATAGAAGCATCGTCTTCATTTTTTATATGCTTTCACAAGCTCTTTTTGTTAGGTATCTGGGGCAATCTAGGCTATCTACAGCTGTAAGTTTTATTTCGGGATGTGGAGAGATCTAAGCATTGCAGTATTTAATTGTTGACACATCTTTTTTATAGGTAATAAGCAAACGGTATCATCAGGAAGTTTCGAGAGGTGTTCAATTATTTCAAATAATCTGTTTTCATTTGAATCGGATTTGAGAGTTATTAATCTATTTGAGAGTAAATTGCGTTTTTTTGGGTAGTCACACCTAATCTTATTCTATTTAGCATTTCAACAATGTCGGAATCATTGAGCTGTCGCATGTTAATTGTTAGTTCATCGTATATGAACAGATAAATCCATGGATTCGGCATACTGAGGGAACCTAACAACTTTTTAGTTTCGGCAGTTGATAGTTTTTCAAAAGGTGACTTTTCTGTTACCGGTGGAAGCTGTAAGAGACCCCAAAAAACTACAAGATGTTTTTTTCCAAACCACCCATTCTGATCGTCGCTTGTGTCGAATATCTCAGACAAGCGTAAATGAATATATATTAAAGTAACGTTGGATATCATCGACACCTCGTCTATGATAAACAACACTACTTCTTTCAAATCTGATCTCAGAACTTGGAGCACTTCATCAGAAAGTGGCTTGTACTTTGGTATCCGCTTGTGTTCCACAGGCAGCTGTAACAGTCTATATATAGTCAATCCATTCACATTGAATGCAGCTATTCCTGTTGGAGCACTAACTGCCACTATTTTATTTAAATCTACGTTTTAACCCAAACTTTCAGAGTTTTTATTAAAAACCTCTTTCCAGTGCCACCAGTTCCACTCACAAAACAGCGTAAAACGTCAGCGTTACTATCGGTTGTGTCCATTTTATTTGTGATCATATCGAAGACTCGTTTTTGATCGGTATTAAGTTTTGCGATCATACTTTGATGATCAGTCTGATTTACTTCTACTAGATTGATTCTCTGAAAGTCATCCATTGCGTTTACAGCTTCTACAGCTTCAAAGTCTAATGGGCTTTCAGGACCGTAGTCATCATCAACAATTCCCCTTTCTTCATTTATCTCAGCAACTTTAGATTCTATCATTTCAAATGCTTTTTGTATTCTGTATCTGGACTCTATCATTGCATTACCATAATCGATTCCTTCCTTTTAATCTTCTTTCGCAAAATTAAAGGCCTCCGTGTAAGTATCACACCCCATTTTGAGTTCATCTAAATAACGCCATGGCTTGTGGTTGCGCGGAAAACCATTCGTAATTTTATTTCATTCGACGGTATGCTTGCCAAAATCTGTCCTTCCTTCGACCTTTCCTTCACCTGTTGTCCCTTTCGATACACCGGGGTGGTGGGGTGAGAGAGGAAAGAAGATAGTTCTAGAATGTCACGTGATCTTCGCAACCGAACTAATATAAACGCGCGCGCGGCCCCTTTTTTTTAACATGGGGAAATGCCTACGCATACCCGCCTCGCGGGGGCAAGGACGGGTTATGTCGGACTCGCACCGACTAAAACCCCATGGCGTTCCACCTTCGTCGCATATTGGCAGGGCTACGGGAACGCTTTCGCACACTTCCGCGGCCCTACCAGCGACTGCCGCCCCATGGCAGCACCTCCTCGGGAGAGGAATATTCCTCCCCGTTCTCCTTCCCAAGTGTAGCAGCCAGATTAATCAAACCGAAACGGGAATAAATAATATATACTCCGCTGCTACCATAACGCGGAAGGCGAGAATAAATTTTATTTCCTAATTATTCTTGGCTACTGAGATACTGCGGACTGTATATAGATAATTTGACGTTCTTATAAAGAAACAAGAAGCAGCCGCAAATATCATTCAGCGCCACACCGACTTCACACGCCGCTATCGTCACGTATCCGTCGACCAATGGTGAGCCGTTTCTTCAACGCCGCAGTTCGTTTCCTCTTGCTGTTCCGGAGCTGTATTCCACACCGCCGCCGCCCGCCGACTACGCGTGCGCACCGATCTGCATGTCTTATATAGCCCGGTCCAGCGACGTAGCTTCGTGAACAACAAACAAGTCTCACGCCGGGAAACGAAACGTAGATAATTGTATATTTTAAATAGTTTTCATTGGTCATAAAATAAGCAATATAATTGGCTAGGCAAAATATTAATTGTTACCATTGGCAAATCAATAGTGAGCCAGCCATATAAATATAGGCAAGGTTGATGCAAAATATATTCCATTCCGAATCCCATTCGACAGTACATTCATAAACATAAACAGTAGTTTCATTTCTCCACCTTAAAGAAAACCACTCGGAGTCTGTTAATAGTGGACAGTTCGTCTCCACTATTACAGTGGTGACCCCGTACGAACACCGAGAAGGAAGACTTCAGTTTATATAAAATCAGTGTAATCAAGCCGTCATTATGGAGCAGGAGGCAAACACATATACATCAAACTCGGTAAAGGAACCAGAAATCGCCGGTATATCTCTATCGTTAAGAATACCACCGTTTTGGAGAGACAAACCACGACTTTGGTTCGTCAGTTTTGAAGCCGCAACGAATGGTTTAAAGAAGAGCCAAGCGCAATTAGCACAGATGGTGATAGCCCAACTTGAGAAACAAGACATCGAACAAATTGCGGACCTGTTGTACAACCCACCAGCAGTCGACCAGTATAATTCACTGAAGGATCGTCTGATCTCCGCATACGAAGAATCCGACAGTCGACAGCTACAAAAACTTCTATCAGAAATAGAACTTGGAGACCAGAAACCCACACAACTCCTACGCAAAATGCGTACTTTGGCGCGAGATAAAGTTCCGGATTCAACACTACGGCTAATGTGGGTAAACCACCTACCACCACATATTCGATCGGTAATAGCAGTCAGCGAAACATTCAGCACGCAGACGAAGCTCGACGAACTGGCACTCCTGGCGGACAAGATGATCGAAAACAGCAGTAGCTCACACATATCGATCATCGAAGGCACTTCAACAAAGGCCAATGATACCCAGTTTCTTCTCGAAGAAATTCGGAAGCTATCATTCGAAGTCGCCGCGCTCAAAGCTTCCCAGCATCATACCTTTTACCAGCAACAGTACAACCAGCGCAATCAGCAACACCGAAGATCACCTTTTCGTCGCAACCGCTCTGCAAGTAGAAGTCGAATAAGCTCAACATCAAGATCCCCTTACTGCTACTATCATCGACGTTTCGGGGTCGAGGCAAGAAAATGCACAGCACCGTGTACATTCAAAAATGAAAATACGAATACGGAAAACTAACTAGTACGCTCGATGCGACGGGATCCAGCGTAACAGCAAAGTCCTACCGTCTTTTCGTCACCGATAAAAAAAGCAAGCTTACTTTCCTTATCGACACCGGAGCAAATATCTCAGTGTTACCGCCGAAGCAAGGACAGAAGTTGAAGCCACTAGATTTTCAACTCTATGCAGCAAACAATACGGTTATTCCTACATATGGAGAAAAAACAATGGAACTTGATTTTAATCTACGCCGACCATTCAAATGGAGATTTATCGTCGCTAAAGTCAGCAAACCAATCATCGGTGCTGATTTTCTTCAACATCACCAGTTGGTCGTCGACATCAAAAATAGAAGAATCATCGACGGGAAAACCAATCTTGCATCTCAGTCTTTAGTACAAGCAACCAATCTGCCCACAATAAGAAGCATAGATGTGCAACAACCGTATCACAAGATCCTCGAAGAATACCCTGGTATCACAAGAATAACTTCAATGAAATTAACACCGAAGAACGACGTTGAGCATTTCATCGACACCAATGGACCACCACTTCATTGTCGTGCACGTCCAATCGCACCACACCTATACGAGCAAGTTCGAAAGGAATTCGAAAACATGATTGAGCAAGGAATATGCCGTCCAAGCAAAAGCCCTTGGTCATCACCACTTCACATTGTACCGAAGAAGAACGGAGAATTACGAGTTTGTGGAGATTACAGAAGACTGAATTCTATTACCACTCCTGATCGCTACCCAATACCGCGAGTCAGGGATTTCACTCATCAACTATCAGACAAGACTATATTCTCCACCATCAATCTCAACCGAGCTTACCAACAAATAAGAGTCCGCGATGAAGACATAGAGAAGACAGCAATAATTACCCCAATGGGATTATTCGAATTCCCAAGAATGATCCCAGGATTAAAGAACGGAGGTCAAACTTTCCAAAGATTCATACACGAAGTACTTCATGGACTGGATTTCGTTTTCGCATTTATTGATGATCTCCTTGTTGCAAGCCCTGATAAAGAAACGCACGAAACCCATCTACGCACCGTGCTACAGCGATTAGAAGACAACGGAATCACAATCAACCCTTCGAAATGCATATTTGGACAGCAAGAAGTTCAATTTCTTGGTTTCACCGTCAGCAAGGAAGGAATAAAACCGCCTGCCGAAAAAGTCAGAGCAATCATCGATTATGCAAAACCTAAAACTATCGAAGAGCTAAGGCGTTTTCTTGGGATGATAAATTTTTACAGAGAACACATACCTAAAGCCGCTGAAATCCAAGCACCACTTCACGCCTACCTTCACAACACGAAGAAAAAAGATAAAACGTCAATCGAATGGAACGATGAAGCCACGAAGGCATTTGAAGCTTGTAAAATTGCGATCCAAAATGCAGCTTTACTCGCTCACCCATCACACGAAGCAACCCTTGCTATCTTCAGCGACGCATCCGATCTCTCAGCAGGAGCAGTTCTCCAACAATACAGCAATGGGAAATGGCAACCACTTGGATATTTTTCGAAGAAGTTCTCCGATACTCAACGTAACTACAGTACATTCGACCGAGAGCTACTCGCTATTTACATGGCTATCAAGCACTTCAGAAAAACGTTCGAGGGTCGAAACCTGATCGTTTTTACCGACCACAAGCCATTAACATATGTACTTCCAAAGAAACCATCACTATCGGAAACACCACGAAGAGCAAGACAACTTATTTTCATAAGTGAATTCACGACCGACATACGTCACATCAGTGGAAAGGACAACATTGCCGACGCACTCAGTCGCGTACCAATCGACAGTGTAACGTGCCCTACATCAATCGACTATCATAAGATCGCCGCAGCACAAGACAGAGATAGTGACAACATAAAACATCTATCGAAGCAAGGTAACTTGTCCATCAAGCAAGTTACAATGCCAATGACGCATCTACCTATATACTGTGAAGCCTCAACGACAACCATGCGACCATACATACCAGAAGAATGTCGTCGCGAAGTCTTCAATGCACTACACAACATTAGTCATCCAGGTGTTAGAACAACAAGAAAACTCATCACTGAAAAATTCTTTTGGCCTGCAATGCAAGCGGATGTTGGCAACTGGGCGAAGCAATGCATTCAATGCCAAAAATGCAAAGTACAAAGGCATACATCAAGTAGTCTAGCTACATTTCCACCCACGGAGAGATTCGAACACTTGCACGTTGACATCGTTGGACCATTACCTACTTCACCGCAAGGACATCGTTATCTCGTAACAATGATCGACAGAACAACAAGATGGCCAGAAGCAATACCTACCGATGATACTTCAGCCGAATCCGTCGCGAAGATAATTTATGAAAATTGGATTACTCGTTTCGGATCACCTAAAACCATCACAACGGATCAAGGAAGGAATTTCGAAAGCAACCTATTCCTCAAACTTCTTCAAACTATGGGAATACAGAAGACGCGTACAACAGCATACCATCCTCAGTCAAACGGAATAATCGAACGATGGCATCGTACATTAAAGACTGCACTCAAAACTCGTTTATCTCAACATACAAAGTGGATTGATGAGCTACCTACAGTGCTACTCGGACTACGAGCAACACCGCGTGCAGACACTAGTCTTAGTGCCGCTCAGCTAACCTACGGCTGCAGCATAAGGCTGCCGTGTGACTTCTTCAGTTCAGCAGCGTCAAACAAACAAGAAATGGATTACGATTTCGTAACTAAACTTCGAGAATCAATTAACAAAGCCTTATCGTTGAAATGCACCGAAATGCAATCACACAGAAATAATAAATCAGTATTCATTCACCAAGATTTGAAAACATGCAAACAAGTTTTTGTAAGAAACGACGCAATGAAAAAACAATTTCAACCTACCTACGATGGACCGTATAAAGTATTAGAGAGAAATAGCAAGACTTTTAAACTACAAATACCCGGAAGGAAATCTACGATTATATCGATCGACCGACTAAAGCCTGCCTATATTATTAACGAGGATACTGCAGAGGATTCATCATCATCATCAAAACCACCAGCGAGGAAGCTTGAAACTTCATCATCTACATCAACCCAGTTGAAACCTATTTTAAAAACTACGAAATACGGGCGAGTCGTCAAGCCTCCGGTAAGCTTTCGCTGGGGGGAGAGTGATGTAGCAGCCAGATTAATCAAACCGAAACGGGAATAAATAATATATACTCCGCTGCTACCATAACGCGGAAGGCGAGAATAAATTTTATTTCCTAATTATTCTTGGCTACTGAGATACTGCGGACTGTATATAGATAATTTGACGTTCTTATAAAGAAACAAGAAGCAGCCGCAAATATCATTCAGCGCCACACCGACTTCACACGCCGCTATCGTCACGTATCCGTCGACCAATGGTGAGCCGTTTCTTCAACGCCGCAGTTCGTTTCCTCTTGCTGTTCCGGAGCTGTATTCCACACCGCCGCCGCCCGCCGACTACGCGTGCGCACCGATCTGCATGTCTTATATAGCCCGGTCCAGCGACGTAGCTTCGTGAACAACAAACAAGTCTCACGCCGGGAAACGAAACGTAGATAATTGTATATTTTAAATAGTTTTCATTGGTCATAAAATAAGCAATATAATTGGCTAGGCAAAATATTAATTGTTACCATTGGCAAATCAATAGTGAGCCAGCCATATAAATATAGGCAAGGTTGATGCAAAATATATTCCATTCCGAATCCCATTCGACAGTACATTCATAAACATAAACAGTAGTTTCATTTCTCCACCTTAAAGAAAACCACTCGGAGTCTGTTAATAGTGGACAGTTCGTCTCCACTATTACACAAGTAAGGCGCACCAAAACACATGGCACGCCTTCCTCCACGGCCTCCAATTGCATCTGCGCAACAGACGCCCCCGCGTCCGATGCGCGAAGGCCATGGGGCCAGAAAAAACGAGCACTTAGAAGTACTAGCCTTCCCGACCCCAGCGGCGGATCTAGTCTATGGCTCCGCCGCCAACCAAGATTCGGCTGTGGAGGATAGGGAGAGCGGCGCCTCGCAATACCGACAATCCTCTCCCCCCGCAGCCCCATCACCACCGCATCAACGGTGCGGCCCCGTTTGAGTCGCGGAGGATAGGGCGAGTGGCGCATCGCCATACCAACACTCCTCTTCCTCCGCGACTCCACCTCGGCTGCAGCGGTAGAGGGTGCGGAGTCCCCACTCGCTGCAGTCCACCAGCATACATCCGAAGTGGGCTCCCCAAGCCCACTCGGAGTGGCCACCTCAGGCCGGCCCTTCACCTCGGGCCAGCCACGTGGTTTCCTCTTTGTTCACCGTGGGAGACCAAGCCACGGCTACTAAGCCCCCCCGCCACGACAAGGCGGGAACTCGTTCGGGGGGGGGGCGGCCCACGCGTGCCTCTTCCCTTCGCGCTCTTCGTTGGAACCACACCGCCTAGGACAGTCGAGTCCTAGAGGGCTTTGCCCACGCGCACTGCTAGTTCAACCGCATCAGCCCGGAGCAGTCGAGTTCCGGGAGTAACCGCCTCACCTCATGTGAGAAATAGTCGCGCACCGCTCTCTTCTATCGCATCACCGGACAGGAACGCATCTCTGGGGCCCCAGAGAATCCGCCAGAAGTCGCACCGCAGCAACAAAGCACCCAAGCCGCATCGAAGCAACACCCCGGTGAGTAATTTCCAGTTATAAGCCCGCTTGACATAACTGTATTTGTTAGTTAATCCGCTCCAATTTCATTTTCTCCTAGCGTTATCAAGCGGGGTTCCTTCATAGACTTTGGCAAGTAATAGTTCGTTTAGGGAAGAGCGAGTGCATTGTCAGGAAAACCGCATGCTATAGTCGCCATTTTGTGGAGACGGAAGAAGCCATCCGCTTACACAGTCCATTTGGTGTAACATCTCGCGTAATAGGCTTAAGGCTCGACCGAGGAATTTGAATTCGGTAACCTTAAGCCCGTCACTCAACCATTTCTGGTCTCATTCGGCCGGATTTGGACTGGTGCTATAGCCGCACCGTCCATTCAATCATCGAACTGTTAGATTAATTCCTTAGACAATGCACTCTAATTGCACTTAATATTGAATAGATTCAAATAGTGTTTGTTTAGTTTAAATTTAAACTTTGGTTAGTTATTCGCAAATAGAATTCATTCATTTAAATAGTGTTTGTTTAGTTTAAATTTAAACTCTGGTTAGTTATTCGCAAATAGAATTCATTCATTTAAATAGTGTTTGTTTAGTTTAAATCTAAACTTTTGTTGGTTATTCGCAAATAGAATCATTCAATCAAAATATCTTGGTTCCGCACGGTCGGTATACCCGACATTTCGTAAAAGAAAAAAAAAGAAAAAAAAACAGTGAGTTTAGCGAGCGACACGCGTCACCTCGGCTCGTTATACAGGTGTTCAATTTAACGACGTAATACGGCACGACAAGACAACAGTGTTGGGAGATATAGTTGTGTTACATTGCGTCCATCCTCCAGCATTGTGCGATTAATTGTGATTAATCTAATATTAATTCTAGTAATTTAAAATGGCAGTTAGTGGAAATGAAATTAAACTTAAAACTCTTTACGCCAAGAGGGACGTACTCTTTTCACGTATACAGTATATTAGTGATCACGTAAAGAACATTAACGTAGAAGCAGTGCGGGAAACGTTTTTGTGTGAAATTGAAACTGTGGATTCTTTGCGGACGGATTACGAAAGGATATTAGACCAAATTAATAATTTGGAATTACAAGTCGACCCGAAATATACAGTGAACTACCAACCAGTTCTAGCATTTGAAGATATGTTGTGTCGCGTCAAAAGAATGGCGAAGCTCTTGCAGTCCCCATCTCAAAGCGAAGCAAAGCCGGAAGCCCAGGTACGCCCACGTGATTCGATTAGGTTGCCCCCAATAGATATTCCGATATTCAATGGCGGTATTAAGACATGGCTCTTCTTCTTTAGTAGTTTTCAAAACAATATACATAATAATCCATCGTTATCGGACGCTGAAAACTTATATTATTTAATTAGTAAACTGAGTGGCAGGGCACAGTGAATTTGTTCGGGTTTCACACCAACAGCAAATAATTATTTGTTAATATTCGAAACGCTTAAGGACAAATATGAAGATAAGCGAATGTTAGCCTCTTCATATTTAGACCAAATATTTGATATTAAACCTATATCATCCGCGAACATCGCCAGCTTAGAGCAGTTTTTAGATAAATTTGTAGCATCGTTGGCTGCACTTAAGAACTTAAAATTTAATGACCTTATGGACGTGATGTTTCTCCATATTGCACTAAAGAGAAACCAGACTCCGACACCGTGCGTGCGTTTGAAATGGAGCATCGTAGCTCTGAAATGCCCCCCTTTGATTCATTAGCATCGTTTGTGCGAGACCAAATCAAAGTGATGCAGCGCTCCTCGAACGTTAGACAGGAGGTTAAGAAAGGTGTCGACCGTAGACAGACTCCATCACCTAAAACCGCAGGGTCGTTAACGTACGTAACCGTGGCGTCGGTACCACCCCCGAAGGCCTGTATCCTATGTAAAGATAAACAACACGGTAATTTATACAATTGTGCGAACTTTCGTAAACATTCACCCAGCGAACGCTATAGAATAGTAAGGACAAACAACTTATTTTTGAATTGTTTAAGCGATAAGCATTTAGTTGCAAAATGCAATTCTAGTTTCGCGTGTAACAAGTGCACCAGAAAACATCACACGTTGTTACATTTCGAAAATAGCTACATATCTGCGTCAAGTAAAGCGGACAAGGAATTCACCCCTACTAAAGTCAACGATTCTAGCGATCGACCTGGTGATGTCGCCCTGTGCTCATTGGCAAATATGGGAGCACAGCCTCCTTCAACCGTGTTACTGGGTACAGCCCGTATTGTAGTTAGGGATTCGCCTGGAAATGAACAAAGCGTCCGTACATTGCTGGACAGCGGATCTCAAAATATCTTTATAACGCGATAATGTTGTCAGCGCTTAGGCTTAGTAATAAATAGGTCACTTTCATGTCCCGTAGTCAAAGGCATCGGAGGTACTAGTAAAGTTACCCAGGGATATATAAATTTAAAATTTTATTCTCGTATAGATCGTAATGTTAACTTTTATATAAATGCACTAGTAGTAGATAAAGTCACTGAACGGCTGCCAACCGTTTCGGTTGACACCTCGGCAATGATTGAATTTAAAAATTTGACTCTAGCAGACGACACTTACGCCGTTCCCGGAAACATAGACATGCTCATTGGAGCATCGCTTTTCCCTCATCTTTTGTTAAACAATAAGGTCAGGGGCAACTCCTCGCATACCGTGCCTTACGCATTGGAAAACGTCTTGGGCTATGTCATCGTTGGCTCCGCCTCCATCATGGATAGTATTTCGGCAACCTCTTATTGTGGTATGGCTGTCGAACCGCTCGAGTAGTTAGTCCGCAAATTTTGGGAGATGGAGGAGGTGAACGTTCCACCTGTAGTTAGCCCAGATGATAGAGGAAATTTACGTCCGCACGACCGTTCGTGATTGCGACGGTCGATATAGTGTAGCGCTACCCTTTAAAGGAGATGTTTTATCTCTCGGGGATTCGCGTCAAATGACGGAAAAACGTTTCTACAGCTTGGAGCGTAGGATGCTCGCTTCACCCCAGTTAAAAGAAGTTTATGACGGCGTCATTAACGAATATATAAGGGAAGGTTACATATCACTTATGGCCTCGAAATTAGATAACTACGAAGACACATCGTCATATTTCATACCACACCACGGGGTCATTAGGGAGGACAAACTTACATCTAAGTTACGTGTAGTGCTCGACGCTAGTGCTAAAACTAGCACTCACCTGTCGCTTAACGATATCCTCTATAGTGGGCAAAATTTACAGGGCAGTTTATTTAATATAATAGACAATTTTCGTTTGTTTAGTATATCACTATCCGCCGATATTCGCCAAATGTTTCTTTGCATAGGGGTCCGTGAATGCGACCGTAGATTCCAACGCATTTTATATCGTTTCAACCCAAAATAACCTCTAATGGTGTTTAAATTTAACCGCGTTTGCTTTGGTTTAAAGTCGAGCCCGTTTCATGCGTTACGCACGGTGAGACAGCTCGCCCACGATGAAGGTCCCTCTTATCCTAAAACTAAGAGGGCAATTGAAAGTGGATTATATATGGACGATTTTGTATACTCGGTCGATAGCGTGGAGGAGGCTACCCTAACCACCGCCGAGGTTATAAAGCTCATGAAAGCGGGTCAATTCGATCTTGTCAAGTGGACTAGTAATTCGCGTCCGGTTTTAGACACAATTCCATTATCACACCGTCTTTCGGTGATAAAGGAATTCGACGATTCTGATACGCACAAGGTGCTCGGTCTGTGTTGGTCACCAGAGTCCGACGTGTTTAGCCTTAAGGTAAACCCGCCCGCAGAGAACAGAGAGTCACAACCGCCGGAAGAGAAGAGGCACGCTCTGGTGGCGAGCGTTTCGAGCGAGGTTTCTCCAAACATTGCTTTGGCGAACCGCTTGTCCTCTTGGTCGAAATTATTGCGTAGCGTAATTTACGTTTGTCGATTCGCAAAGCTTTTACCGCGACGTTCGTATATCTTAGCGTCCGATTACAACTATGCCGAGTTGCTGGTATTGCATGAACTTCAACGTGCATATTTTTCCGAAGAAATTACAAGATTAGAATCGAATAGAGCTTGTAGTCGCGCTTTTCAACACCTTAAGCCATGATTAAAACTACTTTTACGGATTTTATCGCGTTTATTTTTATTTTTTATTTACTTTTATTTAATTAAAAAAGCTGAAGGTACTCCGGGTTTAACAATGACATCGGGACGTCAGTCATCTCAGTCCCCCGTGACCATGGGTGCTGGAAAGCGCCCGAAACGTCGGGAATTAAAAATAAAAGTAAATAAAAAGTAAAAATAAACGCGATAAAATCCGTAAAAGTAGTTTTAATCATGTATAGTGTTCGCGTAAATATAAGAAATCATTATGCCTTAAGCCATTTTTACAAGATGGAATCGTCAGGATAGGTGGACGCTTGTCCAACTCGCAGTTGAGTTTCGACCCACGGCACCCTATAGTTTTACCGCGTAAAGACCATGTCATGAATTTATTAGTTGATTACCATCATAAATTGAATTCTCACACTGGCCCCGACTTGCTGATGTCGATCTTGCGTCAGAATTATTGGATTCTTTCCGCACGTAACTTAATCCTCAATCGGGTGCACAGATGTATAGCTTGCTTTCGGGTACATTCCAAGCCGTCATTTCCGGAAATGGCGGAACTTGGGTCTTGTCGAGTAATACAATCCGTAAAGCCCTTTACGCACACCGGGTCTGATTTTGCTGGTCCGTTTAAGGTCACGCTCACTCGCGGGCGTGGTATAATATCCACAAAGGCTTACGTCTGCATTTTCATATGTCTAACTACTCGAGCAGTGCATATAGAACTCGTTGGTGATCTAAGCACAGCAGGCTTTATGGGTGCGTTTAAAAGATTTCTTTCCCGCCGCGGCCCTGTAAGTAAATTGTATTCGGATAACGGTACGAACTACGTCGGTGCAAAACGTATTTTATCAGAACTACATGAGCTCTTAGCTAGCAAGTATTATAATTCGGAGTTCGCTCATATTCTAGCCGAGAACCGCATCGAGTGGTCTCTGAACGTCCCAGCCGCGAGTCATTTTGGGAGCAATTGGGAGACTAATATTAAGAGTCTAAAGAGTCACTTGTACCGAGTAATAGGAGATCAAATTTTGTCCTTCGAAGAGCTAAGTACTGTGCTCGCTCAAATTGAGTGCGTAATGAACAGTCGCCCACTTTGTCGTACGTTATCTTGTGACCCCTCGGAGCCGCTGGCTCTAACTCCAGCACATTTTTTGAATTTAACGCCTTTGAAGTATTTGCCCGCCGTAGATATGGACGAGAACAAACTTAGCATTTCCGCACGCCATAAATTATTAGACGAATGGAAACGATGGAGGATGGAATACTTGCATACTTTGCAGTCTCGGCAAAAATGGAACACAGCAACTGAACCCTTAACTGTAGGAACTGTGGTTGTGCTCACCAAAGAGAATACTCCGCCTGTCCATTGGCCATTAGGGATCGTCGAAGAGGTTTTTCCCGGTTCCGACGGAGTAATTAGAGTAGCTCGCGTTAAGACCACGGTTAGATCTTACATGCGTCCTGTTGTCCGTTTGTGCCCCTTGCCTCTTCCATAGTTTAAGTTAGCTTTCTAGATTAGAAATTATAGTCGAAATTCAGGTTTAATATTAGCGTTAGTTAGTTATTTTGTTAGTTGATCTTAGCTTTAGTTGTTTTAGTTATTTTTTTAAGGAAATCCTTCAAGCCGGGGGGGATGGTTGCGCGGAAAACCATTCGTAATTTTATTTTAAAGAAATACACACTGCGCTAAATACAGAGAGTAACCAGCGACCACGTTGGTGAAGGCGGAGTTAGTGACGTTGCTGTGATCTTCGTCTGGACCCATCACGTTTTTTATATCATAAAGGCCTGTGGTATAGTTTATGACGGCACGCGAAGCCCAGAAGTCGGCGATATTTGTCTCTAGCGAGCAGCCACCTTGCTTCAACCACTCTTCATCTCTGGTGGTTGCTAAATATTGCCTGGCGGCGAACGAGATGCAGCCGGACACGTGTTACTCGAACTCAGCAACTTCTGGACAACATGGCTGCGTTACTTCTGTGCCAGTGTACGAACTTTCCCATGGAAATCGGGGTGGTGGGGTGAGAGGAGAAAGAAGATAGTTCTAGAATGTCACGTGATCTTCGCAACCGAACTAATATAAACGTGCGCGCGGCCCACGCGTGCCCTCTTCCCTTCGCGCTCTTCGTTGGAACCACACAGCCTAGGACAGTCGAGTCCTAGAGGGCTTTGCCCACGCGCACCGCTAGGTCAACCGCATTAGCCCGGAGCAGTCGAGTTCCGGGAGTAACCGCCTAACCTCGTGTGAGAAATAGTCGCGCACCGCTCTCTTCCATCGCATCACCGGACAGGAACGCATCTCTGGGGCCCCAGAGAATCCGCCAGAAGTCGCACCGCAGCAACAAAGCGCCCAAGCCGCATCGAAGCAACACCCCGGTGAGTAACTTCCAGTTATAAGACCGCTTGACATAATTGTATTTATTAGTTAATCCGCTCCAATTTCATTTTCTCCTAGCGTGATCAAGCGGGGTTCCTTCATAGACTTTGGCAAGCAATAGTTCGTTTAGGGAAGAGCGAGTGCATTGTCAGGAAAACCGCATGCTATAGTCGCCATTTTGTGGAGACGGAAGAAGCCATCCGCTTATACAGTCCATTTGGTGTAACATCTCGCGTAATAGGCTTAAGGCTCGACCGGGGAATTTGAATTCGGTAACCTTAGGCCCGTCGCTCAACCAGCTTGAATAAAAGAAGTAAAGAGAAGAAGTATTTCTCTGGTACTTGTTCTCCGTCGTAGAAATAGTGATTAATCAAATATGGGTTAGCTCTTCTTTTCAGGAACTTTTTACCATCATTTATCTCGTAGTACTTGACTTTAGAGGAGACTGGGCGTGTTTTAACAATATCGTAATTTTGAGCGAAACTATACAAGTTAGTATTCTCCAACTCTTTAGGCCGTTTAGGATAGTGGTCATCAATCCAAGACTCGTAATAAATAACGATGGCTGGAGTCCAGTCTAGCATCATCATATCAGATTTAGATTTAACGCGCCGGTTACGAAAGATGTTAACGTCCAGCCATCGAATTGTTGTGGTAGGATCTGTACCGTACAAAGTAAAATACCAAGTAAAGGTCACTGGCTTCCAAAGAGCCGCACTCTCTCTATTAGACAATACTCTAAGGCCAATGTTAAACAGGCGGCTTCTTAAAGGTTTTGTAGAGTTTATGTCTCTTATTAGTTTGTGGTTTATGTCTTGAAACATATCAGCAACGTGAGTTTTCTCGCTTTTGGTGGTATATTTAATGACGTAATAATTTAAAATAGCTGTTTTTTCGCATACATATTGAATGTCTGTATTGCCATTCCATGCTAGTAAAATAGCGGGATTATAATAATTAATCATAACGCATTCTTTTTTGCGTACAATATAGTAAAGTCTACTGTTAGGGGACAATGTTGTTCTTGTAGCTATTGATTCTATTATATCTCTAATAGTAAGTATTTCTGTGACCGGGCGGGGGAATCCGAAACGACAAACTTTTACGAAACCTCGTCTTGTTTTCTTTTGGCGCATGCAATACTTATTATGTTTATGGGTCTGATATGACGTAACTCGTTGATAGAGTGTTGGTGAAACATTCTTGTCAGGTATAGCACATGTTACGTACTTTGAAATGAATGATGCAACCACATCAAGCAAGGACTCGTGAAGTATGGGGGCGTTTTTTACACATAACATTAAATGAAAGTGTTGCGCTCCACGGGATTGATACACTCGTCTCCAAAAGTAATGTGTTACTTTTCCAAGCGGCTCATCGGACGACATAATGAAGTCCAACATAGCCTTAAACTTGTTATCAATAAATCGAGAAGTGGAGACAGGATCTAGTGCAACTAATTCACTTATGCTCTTGTTCGCCATTTCAGGACCGTTAACTTCCCTAAGGTACACACCTAAATCATCCCACATTCATTCTGAAGGACTCATGGTGAGAAACCAGGTTGCTGGCCCGTAGTATTGTGTCATACAGATGACATCATTTCTCGGTTTTTTCCAAAACTGTTCCGTATTTCTTAACCTACCAAATATCGCTGTTAAGTCACCTTCTAACTCATCTTTATTAAGCATCTCAAAATACTGTTCGGCTATAATTTTTTGTTTTTGATAAACGCAATTCATTTTATAGAATATCCCTGAATTTATTTGACGTATTATATTAGCATCATTAATTAGGAAAAATAAATACTGTTGATTTAGGCGGAATTGAGAGTGTTTTGAAATTAGTCTTGCTTTAATATATTGACTAGATGCTAACTTTTGCTGCCGAATATAAAATTGCCCATATTTACCTTCTACGTAAAGATCAGGAAAGCACTTTACATCTAAATCTTTATCTTTAAAATCAATTGGAGCAGCATTGACTTTGAGCATTTGGTAGAGTTCTGAAATAGGAGCGTTTCGACTCCTTTCATGCAAGGGGTAAATAGTGTTAGTAGCCCATCGTTTTCTTCTACAACGTTATCTACTTGAGATTCTAATTAGTCTACTATATGATGGATATTGTGCTCTTTATTAATATAAGCTAACAATTGTTGAGGTGAATGTGGAAGTTGTATTTGAAAGTAAAGAGCATTTACACATTTTAAATATTGTAAGGCTTGGTAAACTTTATTGACATCTACAATATCCTCCCACACTATTTTTGATTTTGTTGGCATACCTCGTACCATAATATACATTTCAGCGTTAGTAATCGGGTGTTCCGGTCTAGGTAGCTTTTTCAAAGTTTCTTCAAGAGGCAAAGGAAGGTGAAAAGTTCTACCTTTTACTTTTTTCACCATATGCCTATTAGGTAAATGTTTGTTTGCAACAGGATTCATTAGCATTACTACCTGAAATACTTTGGCGCATTGCATTAATAACGTTTCATAGTCATTTAACTCAGCTATCTGTGGTGGAACAGTACTAACGTGTAGATCATTTAGAACACAGGCTGCTGGCAGTTGATTTGCTCTAATTTTTTGTAAACACGAGTGACAAATGTAGGGGCTGTGGTCTAGATTGGTTTTGTAATAATTGAGAAGATTATTCCAAATACTGGTGTCTATAGCTTTTCTTAATATTTTTAGCGATGAAATATCTCTTGAAGAAGAAAGTTTTATACACGACATGCACTCAAGCTTTCAACTATCAAGACACTTTAGTTTTAGAGATTTAAACGCTGCCTTATGTTTATCTATGACATCATCCTCTACAATTTCTTGTGACTCTTCACTTTCCACAACAATACTGCTAGCTTTTTGTTGTTTCCCGTGTTCTTTTATTCTTTCTACGTCAGATTTTTCTAATGATTTATCATTATCTTTAAAAATGTTAAAAATATTCTGTACTTGATATATTTCTCTTGAAATTGTCCTAAGATGAGGAAAATGCGCTTTGAGAAATTTAATATAATTTAAATACTCTAATATTTTTTCTTTTTCAATTAATGTCTAATACTAAGCTGCACTTTTGTTCACCAAGCTTTAGAAAATTTTTGTTAATTATATGATTACGTTCTCATCTAGTGCACACAGATTTTTCATTACAAGACCAAACTAAACTATGACCATGCTTTTTTCACATTCCCAAAGACCGCTTTTCCTGTATCGTCAATTTCGATAGCTTTGTCCTTTTTTTAAAATCTAGGATTAGTTGTTCCAAGAACCAGATTAGTCAAAGTGTTCAAGCAAGGTATTGCAATAAAAATTAAAATGTACAATAAATTGCCAATAGAAATAACAAGACTTCCGCTAAATGCGTTCCGACAAGTGATAAAAACATTCTTTTTAAATCACGCATTTTACAACATAGAAGAATATATGCAATGTTCATTTTCTAACTCGTTTTCTTACTCATTATTGTAATTGTATAATTTGTAATTTTAACTATTGGTGGACCGTCGAGCCTAAGGTTGCCGAAGTCTAATTCCCCGGTTGAACCTTAAAAACCTATTACGCGAGCTATTAATCTAAGTGGACTGTATCTACAAAATGTTTCTACACTTATATAAACGGCAACTATAGCATGCGGTACAATGCACTCGCTCTTCCCTAAAAACGAACTATTATTTGCCAAATCGATGAAAGGAATCCTGCTTGATTAGGAGAAAACAAAATTGGAGCGGGTTAAAACACAGTTATACCAAGCAGGATATATTTAGGAATATTGACTCACCGGGGTTCAGTCTTCTATGCTGTTGAGTACTATAGCTGCGACCTCTGGAACTTCTTCTGGACAAACACTCTGGGGCCCCAGAGGTACGTCGGGAGAGAAGCGGTGTGGTTTCAACGACGAGCGCGGCGGGAAGAGGGCGCGCGTCGGTCGCGCGTGCCTTTTATATCTTTGGTTGCGATGATTACGTGATATTCTAGAATCATCTTCATTCCCCTCCCACCCCACCACCCCGATGTGTCGATAGGAGGGTATGAATGATATCGTTTTGGAAAGGGATAACCGATTTGGCAGCCTACCGTCAAATTAAATAAATACGAATGGTTTTCCGCGCAACCAACTATATTATTGTATTTATATAATTGTAATTGTAATTTTGACGTACCAATGTTACGTAATGGCAAATAAATAAATAAATATATTTTTTTCTTATTCCTTAGACATGCTGCTTTCCTCACGATGTTTTTCTTCGCCGACGAGCACGTGGTTAATCAGCACTTAAAATTGCAATTAACAATTTCATTGGTGCCGGCGGGGATCGAACCCGGGTTACTCGCGTTCTGTTATATTTACAGCGAGCGTTAACCATCTGAGCTACCACGGCTTAAACGTAGCAAACATAGTTATATAAAGTGCCGATATATAAAAGTAGTTGCTCCGTGTAGTGTACAATTACGCAAATGATCGTGCCAGTCAATTGGGCTCCCAGAAAAATGCCGGATTGCAGTGTAATTTAATGCAAAAAACAATTAAAACCGTCAAATCTACAAAAGGACAACATACTTTTGACACAATATTATCGTTAAAACAAAATATTCAGCTCAATCCCAACATGATCCTGAATAAATTATAATTTTAACCTGTAAGCTCAGGAAGGTCGCGACATGTTATACTCCCGTTCGCTCGGGACCTTAAAATGGCGGAAATTTAAAATTTTTCGCTAACTTGCAAATTCTGCTATATTTTCACTTTGAGACAATACCGTATTTATGGATAAAACTTACAGGAATTCTTCTTGAATGTATAAACTATCGAATAAAATAATTTTTAGATGTTAGATATTGTAAAAAACTAATAAATTACCCTTTAAAAAGCATAGTAGTAGTAGATACTTCACTTTTAGCCACGAAAATAACAATAAAATAATTTCTACACGTTTGTTTTTTGAGAAATCTATATAAAAATGTTTGGAAATATATAATTTTATGTTTTTATGTGTTTTTAATCGTAACCCATACAAAAAAAAAACAAATATATAAGAATCAAACATAACCCTTGTTTTCCGAAATTCAATTTATTATATGAACTTTGAAACACTACCTCTCTATTTTGTGTGATTTTGAAATAAATACAACACCAAATTATTTGAAATATGTAATATAATTATTTTTTATTTACAGTTTACAGTAAAAATAAATGAAAATGGAAAAATAACACATTTCTTACTCAACCACGAAAACGGAAGTTTTTCAGAATAAATTCACATATAACACACTCAAATATGTTTCGACACAAATGAAATATGTTCTAAACATATTTCATTTGTATCGAAAAGTACATTTTTTTGTTATTTACAATAAACATAAACAATTGCAACAAATGCACAAAATACAAAATACAACAAATAAAATATATTTGAAAAGATGTATGGAGCAAATAGTGAAGTGGCGTCGCTGTTATATTTATCTATAATTTTTGCAATGTAGCCGGCAATAATCAAATTCAGTTATATGACTTTTTGTAATGATTTTATATTGATTGATTGATGATTTTGTATCCCAAGTTGTCCCGGGGTCATTCTTATCCGCCATGAAAGCAAACTCATCGTAAGCAAACCATTTTGATTTGTAAGTATTTTCAGCACCTGAAATAAACAATAAATTAATATAACCGGCAAATATCAATGTCTGTGAAGTCACTCCCCTACCCAAAACTTTTAAACATTTAAGTATATCTTTTTATCACAAACTAAGTTACGTTACTACGTTGTGGAGTTTTAAACAATACATTTTATTATTATTACTAATAATGATTATAACTACTTTTACGGATTTTATCGCGTTTATTTTTGCTTTTAATTACTTTTATTTTTAATTCCCGACGTTTCGGGCGCTTTCCAGCACCCATGGTCACTGGGGACTGAGATGACTGACGTCCCGATGTCATTGTTAAACCCGGAGTACCTTCAGCTTTTTTAATTATTGTTTATGGTCCGATCTATGCAAAATGAACTGACTATGTCTTGAGGTCTTGCAGTGGCATGCTTGGGTTTAGTTTTAATTTTATTGATTATAGGATCCCAAGCAGGTGGTAGTACCCAGCCTCCTTCTCTATTGAAATTAGGATGTTTTTTAATTTCAATAGCCTCACGTATAATCCTTGGTAGGAATCGGTGTTCTTTCGCGAGGATTTGTGGTCTATCAAATCTGATGTAATGGTTGAGGCCGTCCAGGATATGATCACAAACTGCAGACTTCCCGGAACCTTGATGCTTCACATCAGCTATATGTTCTTTTACGCGGGTTCTAATTGATCTTTTTGTTTGTCCTATGTAAGAGAGACCGCATTCACAATCAAGCTTGTACACTCCTGCATCTTGTAGAGGAATAAGACACTTGACGGATGGTAGGAACTGACTAATCTTCTTCGGCGGCTTGTAGAATGTTCTAATAGAAGCTCGCTTCAAGATATAGCCAATCTTGTCTGTGACACCTCTGACATATGGTAGTATAGTGTTTTAACAATAATATTGTGTC